AACGTAGAAGGTTTTAGAGAATTCAAAATTTACCGTTATTTTCGCAAAGGAACTGACTAAATCTTTAAGCTTACCTTTATCTTCGTTCCTCATTAATTTCCGTGATATTTCATAAACTGCCAAAGGTGTTTCTAAAAATTTGATGAAGTCCTGGATATGACGATAAACTACATCCGGCAGCATCCTCTAATCTGGAAATTTTAAGGAGCATAGAACCACCTCTTAATTGCTGTTGTTCCCAGGTCCACCCTGACTCAGGGTGGTAGCACATTTTAGGGTTCCAAATACTATAGTGAATCCTGAAACTGGGGTCAAAAGATTATGAAAGTGTAAAAGTCTATTTTTATATTAGAAATACCAACAATACATTTTCATATTAATGAAATTACCAGCAATATATTTTTGTAAAAAATATATTACCAGCATATAATTTTGTAAAAAAAATATTTCTAGCAATAACCGCCACTTCTACTCAAAGAGCTTCTTCTCTCGCACTTCCCGACAGTGGAACTCCCTTCCTCTTATTTGCTTCCCTGATAGCTATAATCTTCAAATATTCAAAAGTAATGTCAATCGACATCTTCTGATGCCTTGATTCTTGATCCCCGTCCTTCTCTTTATCATTTCTTTAAACACCCCCCTCTTTACTCTTGCTCCCTACTCTCTGTAACCCCTTGCGTGCTAGTGGCACTCCCCACTTGCTTAAAAAGAAAATTACAGATGCTCCCAAGAAAATTAGAATTCAGCATTAAATGACCCATAACGAGTTGATATGTCGCTAAACAAACATAACAAAAATTTGATGTTATTTGATATGTAATTATCTAAGAAGCATAGTCGAGACAAATTAAAATCAACAAAATCATTGTTGAATAAAATATGATTTATACATATAGATTTCGTGAGCGATTTTACAAGTATAGGATGTTCCAAAAAAATTGATATCATTTGAGATATAAATCTGAGTCACTATATAGTCTGGATAAATGAAACTTATTGTTGAATAAAATAACATTTTTATTATACATCAAAATTTAATATCTGTCTATATTTCTGAGATGAGTTATTATGTACATTATTTACATTATTCGGACTATTGTCCTCATCTTTGTTACCATATTTATTACAACGTTTCGGCCGTTGTACGCTCCGGCCTTCTTCGGGCGGTTAAAATGTCGAACTGAACCCTTTATTTCGCTCACTGGAGTAGACTGTTCTAGTTCCACGTGCCATGTCTAATGGATGTCAGTTATCAGTTATCTCCCGTTAATTTCCCTCTGAAAGTTCTCCACTGCCTTAGCCGGGTATTGAACTCACATTCAAGGACACATGGCACAGTGGATAAAGGCGTTACTTAGATCCATTGACAGGACCAAAATAGTGTGAGTTCAATACCTGGTTAAGGGTGGCTCGGTGCCTTCCCCTGTCTCTCTTGCCAACAATATACCCTGCGAGGGTAAAGTATTCCTTTCTGATTATGTATGCAAGGTATTTTAGATTTCTCATCCCGATTTTGGGCGTAAGTGTTCTTTTTATTGCCATTTTCTTTATTTCTTCATTGTTTACCCACACCGACACTGTTTGGGTCCTCTCACTGGATCTAACCAACGCCTTTATCCACTGTGGCATGTGTCCTTCGGGACCCCTTTATTTCGCTCACTGGGGTAGACTGTTCTAGTTCCACGTGCCATGTTTAATATATACACACATATATATATACATACATATCTATATATACATATATCCATATATATATATATATATCCATATATATATATATATATATATATACATATATATATGTACATATAATATATATATACATACACATATATATACATACACATATATATATATATACATATATATATACACACACACACACACACACACACACATATATATATATATATATATATATATATATATATATATAAATATATATAAAATGGACAAAGTCCGACCATTATTTTAAGACATTTTTAATGTTTACGCGTTCTTTGTATAGATAGAAATATTTAAGTAAATGGTCTGTTCGATCGATTCCTGTCGGAGGACGAATATTTACTGTGAAAATTTCTCTGGCATTCAGGTCGGTAAATGTCGTTAATACTGTTTATTATAAACAGAGCATTTAATTAAATATTTGTATCTATAAAAAGAACGTATAAACATGAAAAAATGTCTTAATAAAATAATTGTCGGACTTTGTCCATTTCATAATGCATGACGTCATTTGTTTACATTTTGATACGCATTGAGCAGATGTGAATGAATGAGAGAAAATCACGGAGAATTGTATTTAAAAACAGTAAAATCGACTTTGCTAACCGATCGCTTCTCTGTGGCCAAATCGGTTAAGGGCATGTCAGGCTATATGACGGTTCTGTGTAGGATACAGGTTCGATTCCTATCGGATGACGTATATTTTATATGAAAATTTCTCGGAAATTCAGGCCGGTGAATGTTGTTAATACTGTTTATTATAAACAGAGTATTTACTTAAATATTTGTATCTATAAAAAGAACGTATAAACACAAAAAAATGTCTTAAAAAATAATTGTCGGACTTTGTCCATTTCATAATGTGTGTGTGTGTATATATATATATATATAATTAACATGCACTACTAAGTGTATCTTTTATAATCACCTAAACACACCCTACCAATGTATAGAAAAAATTGATATCATTTGAGATATAAATCAACCATTCGCCCTTGCATGGAATACTGCTGCCATATATGGTCTGTTCATCTTAATGTCCTCGACAAAATCCAGAGACGGATAAGCAATGTGATTGGCCCTGATCTGGCATCTCGTCTACAGTCGCTCTCTCACAGATGTGTCGTAGCCTCCTTCTGTCTTTTCTACAAATAGCACCTTTCTCTGGTTCCCAAACAGCATGAATTTAAACGTGCCACTAACCCTTTCACTCTCAAACAGTTAAATGTAACCCCCTCTTCTACTCCAATAGCTTCATGTCTCGCACTTCCCGTCTGTGGAACTCCCTTCCTCTTACTTGCTTCCCTGATAGCTATAATTTTCAACTATTCAAATGCAATATCAATCGACATCTCCAGATGCCTTGATCTATTCCCCGCCCTTCTCTTCATCATTTCGTCTTTCACGCCTCTTTACACTTGCTCCCACTCTCTGTAACCCCTTGGAAAATATATGAAAATAAAAAGTTACTATATAGTCTGGGTAAATGAAACTTAACAGGCTTATTGTTGAGTAAAATTGTTATTATACGTCAAAATTTGAATGAGAAATTCAAATGTATGTGGATTCATGATCGATTTTACAAGTATTCAATATGCGCAACGCCTGTGGCAAAGCGCTTTTGCTTGTCATCTGCCTTTAAGGCATGAAGGATATCATTCGTCAGCGTTTCTTTGCGACACGCCAAAGTGTCGTCCGAGGAATCTAGGTTTACAGATTTTTTTTTTCTAAGCTTGGCTTAGATGTGGCACAATGCCGAAAGTATGGTGCACCCAGTGAGGATAGAATTCACTACACAGTTGTAATTGTTCTAGTGAGGCAAGGATAAGCCATCGCTCGGGATAAATAATAATAAAAATAACGAGAAATATCCATGAAAATGACTTGTGAGATTAGTGCACTCTCAATACATTTTTGTTATACCGAATCTTGATCAGACGTATTTGTTGTCTCTATTATGTCTTTTCTGTCTTTCCATGCGATCAAAACGGAATAGTCCATTATTTTATGGGCCATTGTCAGGGCGTAACGGTCGTGATACCTAAGGGAGGAGAAGCGGAATTACAATAAGATTAGCCGAAAGTCTATTTCGCAAATATTTTTATTAATAAATTTATTTATAAGGAGGTACAAATGAAAAGATTTGAAATAAACATTTTTTTTCCAATTCAGTGAAACAGACTTCTATTTCGACCTTTTGTTTCAATCATTTTCTCACTGAAACCAAGTAGCGTCTCTGATATGTCTTTTGTTTCTCAAAACGGAATAATTCATTATTTATTAGGTATTGGAAGGAGACCTTAAAGACTTCTCTTTCTTTCTTTCTTTTACTCACTGAAACCAAGTAGCGTTTCTAATATGCTTGTTTGCACGCGTTCAAAACAGAATATCCTATTATTTATTGGCAGGGCGTAACGGTTGTGCGAACTAAGAATGGAACTAACCAGCTAACGAAGGGAAGGAAGGGCAAGCAGACTTCTAATGGAGGTCATTTCTATTTTTAAAAATTACATCTCTCCTTTTAAATTCTTGAATTGTTTATTAATAAATCATTGTTTTGCACTCTTGTCTAATGTAACAGGCTTTAGTAACACTTTGATTTTATTCTTTTCAGTAATTCTTGAGCTTGGCCGCCATGTCTGCATCGACACTTCATCATAAACCTTGAGGGTCAACCAAACAACAATAGATTCCATTATGCCTTCTGCCCAGTCTACTGCGAGCAAGGCCAGTCGCAAAGGCAAAGACGATAAACCGCCCCCCGCGACTGGACCTGGCAGTAAAATTGTAGCCCTTCCGGTACTTTTGAAAAAACACATAAAGATTTTAGACGCCGAAACGGTCAACATCCAGTATGACACGTTCAACGTCAAATCCTTACCTGTGGAAATTTATTCAAACGAAGAAATCGCAGAGAAAACCGTAAAATTGCTGATCGCTAACAACAGGTTGAAGCGCATGCCGAAAACTGTAGCCAATCTACGACTTTTGAACACGCTGGACATTCGAAACAACAACCTAACAAGTTTTCCGACCAGTATAGCGAAAATGGCCTGCTTGGTCAATTTAGATTTGACCAACAATAACCTGAAAAAGCTGCCCCGAACCATTCACCGGTGTCCGTCATTGAGCGTCTTGCATGTTTCGAACAATCGTTTGAGCTCATTACCAAAGAAATTCGGTAAGAGTCCGTCGCTGACGTATGTCAACCTTTCGCACAATTTGATCCGTTCGTTTCTGAAGAATATTTACGAGATGAATGCCGAGCTGAATCTTTCGCACAACCGCTTAAAGGCTCTGCCCAGTGCAAATGTTAAAAAGCCGCGGATTAAAGAGTTGGACGTCTCGTATAATATGCTGGAAAGTATCCCAGAGACAATTAATAAATTGACCCGATTGGTTCGACTTGACGTGTCCAATAATAATGTAACTGATATTCCCAAGGAACTCGGCTCCCTTAATTACATCGAAAACATTAATCTTTCTAACAACAAACTGAATTCTCTGCCACAAGAACTATGTAAGATAGCTACAGCTCTCAGGGTCTTGAATTTATCTGGAAACCAAATCCGTTACTTACCAGAAGAAATCGAACGTTTTCGTAATCTGGAGACTTTAGATATTTCTAATAACAAAATCGAATTTATGCCTGAGGGGACGAAATACTTATCGTGCTGCCAACATATCGATGTGTCGAATAATGAACTGACGTCTGTGAAGTTTGCAGTGTCCCTTGAAAGTTTAAGTGAGCTCAACATCGCTCACAACCACATCGAGGTGCTCCCGGACGATATGAAAGCGATGCGTGCCCTGAAATCACTGAATCTTTCTTTTAATCGACTCAAGGAGATTCCGGACGCTATTGGTGATCTCGTTTCCTTGAAAGCCCTAAACGTAGCCGGCAACGCGATCACCACCCTGACGCCGACTCTGGGTGAAAATCAAGTTCTGAGTTCTCTAGACATCTCCCAGAATTCCATATCGGACTTGCCAAAGGATCTGCGTAAGTTCCGCAACCTGGAACTCTTCCACATCTCTCACAATCAGATCCGATCCGTTCCGAAATCGATCGAGTCTCTGTATCAGTTGCAATCGCTGGACGTGTCCGGCAACGAGATAACTGACGTCCCTTTACCAAAGACAGTCCGGAAGCTGTATATATCAGACAACCCCTTTGATATAGATCAAAGTGATGCAACCACGACTTTGAACCTGATTGGACACAAGGATCACGTGATCCAGCTGACAACCTTAGAGTTGGCCGGCTTGAAGTTGAAAACCATCCCGAGTAGCACATTTAAACTGCGGCTGCTTACCTCTTTAAACCTATCCAAAAATAATATTGTAACTGTACCAGATCTCTTTAATAAATTACGGGTTTTAGTGTCGTTAAATTTGAGTGAGAACTCGATTGAGGCTTTGCCTCCATCATTTGAAAGTCTCTGTCATTTAGAACATTTAGATGTTAGCTCGAACAAACTGTCCGACTTCCTTCCCGAACTGACGAATCTGATCCATCTACAAACGTTGGACATGTCCGGAAATCAGATCTCTCATTTACCAGATCATTTCGGTAGTCTGAACAAACTCTTGAGGCTTGATCTTTCTCGCAACGAACTGCTCAGTTTTCCCTCCGATCGCGTTGACGTGTTTGCCTCGCTTCTTTTCCTTGACCTGGCTCACAATCATATCGACTCGATTCCTACAGAGTTCGCTTACCTCTACCGAATCAAAGTCCTTGTTTTAAAGGGAAATGACCTGGAATCACTTCCGTCGCAGATAGACAAGATGGCGTCTCTGGAACAACTGGATGTGTCGGACAATATCATTTCCAGCTTGCCGGAGAATATCTGTAAACTCCCTAGTGTAAAGGAGCTGAAGCTTTCGGATAACAAAATTACGCAGGGATTCCCGAAGAATTTTGAGCGTCTCCGGCAAAATGCCCAGGTGGAGTTTGACGAACAATCGTCTTTTAAGACTCGAGTCCCTCGGGATCGTCCAGTAAAAGTTGCCCCTGCAGTTAGCGGAGCGGCAAAGAAAAAGGACAAAAGCGGTAAGCGTAGATCGAAAAGTGCACGAGAGACAGGTTTCCTGTCTACACCCCCTGAAAGATGATCTCGGCTTTACTTTCTTAGATATCCTGTGAACAGGGACGTGGATGCAGTGGCGTAGCTAGAGTAAACGTCACCCGGGGCGGTCCGCTCAAATGTCACCCTAATGACCCCGATTCACCCTTATGCTGAATGGTTAGCTGTAGCTAAATTTTCATACATGCTCTACCTCTACTTTACTCTACTGACCGGTACGTTACTGCTTACATGTATGATCCAAGACAAAATCCAATACCACAAAATAATCAGTTCAAATCAAAAGCTGAAAACATTGCTATTTTTCCTACTCACAAATTTCCCGGCAATTTATTAGACAATTTCTGACGGGGGGACAAAACTGGGAGGGTCATAAATTATTTCTGGGGGTTATATGCCAGCCTGCGAAATCCTGTGTCTCCACCACTGTTTTCAGACTATTTTTGGCACCTTAGCCTGGTTGAAAAATTTTGTTGGGAGTGACATTTTGTCACCCCTCCTGTGTTGGCACCCGGGGCGGTCCGCCCCCCTTAGCTACGCCACTGCGTGGATGATCATGACTCTCACAGCGTTACATCCCTTGTAGCTTTTAGTAATGCTTGTCTTTTTGCTATACCCACCCCGGTGCGCGATCCATTCACACAAGCTGATCGCCGTTTTCTCCAGTCCCGTTTTACCTTCGATATGTCCTCTGAGTTTCAAATTCAACACGCCTTCTTTCCTCACTATCTGTCCAAGACATTTCAGTTGTCATTTTCTGATTCTGAGTAGAATTGTTCTTTTTATTTCCAGCTTCCTTAAGACGTCCTCGTTCATTACGCACTCCGTCCATGGTATTCTCAGCATCCTTCTGTATTCATGTTGTCTCAAGTCTTCTCTTCATCTGTGAAGAAATTAAATTAGAATTTTTGATCTAGACTTTCACATATTTTTTTAATGGAGTACATAACCAATTTGATCTATCTAAAAATGAACACTGTTCTTCTGAACTGTTACGTGATATCTCTCCTCCAATCTGACAGTGAATGTTGGAGAATCTCCTCAAAGATGAAGAAGAGACTTGAAGCAACAGAAATGTAGTTCTACAGAAGGATACTGAGAATACCATGGACCGAACATGTCAGCAACGGTGAAGCTTTAGAAAAAATGGAAACACAAAGGAAACTTATACATAACATAAGGAAGAGACAGTTGAAATTTCTAAGGCATATAATGAGGAAAGAGAGCTTGGAAAATCTGAGACTCACAGGACAGATTGGAGGCAAGAGGGATAGAGGAAAACAACGCATAACATATTTATTGAGTTTGAGTAAATGGATAGCGGAACAAGGTTAAGGATAAATAACAAAAAGACAAAATTTATTAACAGCTATAAAGGACAGGAAATTGTGGAGGGCCATGATCTTGTAAAAATCATAGTTATTCTAAAAAAAGAAACAATTATTATTACAATACGTAACATGTTTCGGCTTTGAATAACCCACAAAGTAAAAACCGGAAGTAAAAACAAATCTAAGAATCAGTTGGACGCGAAACCCAGGATACGAAATGTTTACTACTTTGTTTTATTACTACGCTCTTTAGCGAGGGAACTTCTTTATCAAAAATATTCCAGATATCTATTCCAAATCAATTCAAATGTAAGTTAGCAGTAATTTTCTTTTTCTAACTGGTGAATCTTTTTCACGTTCGAAACTCAAAGATAATTCTGGGTTTTCGCCATAACAAAGCGTTACCCATGGATAAGTCGATCTCTAACTTGTTGCTTTAAAACATTGTCTTTAAAACCGCGAATTCTACACGAGCAGTTGGGCCGCATTTGATGGACCCAATTTTCAAAATTTCTGATTTATAAAAGAACGTGCAAAAACGAGCATTTATCGGCGTAAAGAGAAATGATTTTGATACAACCTAGTGTGCCAAAAATTCAATTTTAAATGAACGACTTCTTTGTCATGAAAAAATGGCGTCGTTCAGGGTTAATTCAATTTAATTAAAGAAAAATAAGAAAAATTAATTAAAGAAAAAATAAGAAAAATTTAATTAAAGAAAAAATAAGAAAAACAAGAAAAAATATTTAAACTAATTATTATTTTTATATTTTCAGTCATTTTTCCTTTTTTTCTTTTTTCTTCAGGCTAAAAAGAAAAATGTATTTTTTGAATTTGCTTTTAATAAAGAACTTTACTACTCTGAACATGACACATTGACGTCATTCAAGAGATGTAAATCGATTGGTTGTCACCGAGAATCCTTGAAAATGTTGTTGGAATCAGTTTTTTTCCGCTTATTTTATCAATTTTTTATGTATCTTTTTTTTTCATTTATTTATTTGCTCTTTTAAACTTAAAGTTCAAAAAATTTCCCTTGAGAAGTCTGCAGTATGTCTAAATTATTCGCCAGTCCTTTTAAATGAAGAATCCAAGCTTTGGGCATAGAATTACAATCCCAGACCTTGCGATAAAAAGTAAATGAAATTAAGATTAAATAAATTGTTGTATTGTGTTGTGTTGTTCTACAGAACGCAATCAGTAATCAACTTCCGCCTGTCTCTTTACTATACACTTTATAACACTTCTACATAACGTCGGCAAATGACTACTATCCTATTTATCAACTCTACTACACCTCCCTGAACAAAAAAAGATTGAATGCCTTCGTTTCTTCCCGAACTTTAACAACATCCCTCATCCTCTCCGTCTTTGAGGTTTATGGCCTGTCTTTTTAATGGAATCTTGGTCTTATCTCATCTTCTTCCGTGTCTGAGTCACTCCCGTTAATCATCCATACGCTCCCGTTCTATTGCATTATCCTGATCTGAAGAACTCATCCTTTCTTCTCTGCTAAAATCTTCTTCCGCCGTAACATCTTCCTCTTCAGTTCTGGACCAATTCTTCAGAATAGACCATTATGCTTTTTCCTTTCTTCAATATAATAGCCGTGTTATGTTCCCTTTGCATGATGAAATTATCTGTCTATATCTCTGAGATAAGGTATTATGATTACTTGCATTATTTACATTATTCCGACTGTTATCCTCATCTTCATTGCCATATTCACAACGTTTCGGCCGTTGTACACTCCGGCCTTTATGTCTATGTCTCTCTATATATCTCTGTATGTCTCTGAGATGAGGTATTATGATTACTTGTATTATTTACATTATTCGGACTGTTATCCTCATCTTCAATGCCATATTCACAACGTTTCGACCGTTGTACACTCCGGCCTTATCATGTGAATGGAATTCGAATCGAACCCGGAAAAGGTATGGAACGTGGAATTCGAACAATCTACCCCGGTGAAGGAAATAAAGGGTTCGGTTCGAAATTCCATTCGCCTGAAGAAGACCGGGGCGTAGAACGGCTGAAAAGTTGTGAATTATTTGCGAATTTTGACTCAGGAGCTCATACAGAAGGGTTAAAATTGTTCAGGAAGGCAAGGCTCAAAGGGTTCAAATCTATACATTTTTGCTAACAAGATTCAAGTATATTTATTCTGCAATCATCTTAATGTTCTGATGGTTATGTATTTCTCGAAGGCATTTGTTGTAATTTTCACTTGTTGAAAATCTTTCCTTGAATGTTTGAAATGCGTTGGTTGGTCGATTGGTTTGTTAAGGGACCGGCGTGGAGAGCATCTAGGATGGGACCCAGTGGTGAACCTACATTTTCCTGTCCTGAAATTTTAACAGATACGCGGGAGCCCTTCGGAAACCAGTAATAAGAGATTTGGGGATCCAACTGCTAAAATCTAGGCTATGAATAGATTCTGGTGAGGTCAACGAGACCATACAGATGGTGTGTGTGGGGGGGAGGGTCGGGCGCAGCAAGCCTTCAAGAAAACTTTGAAATTTGACCAATTACGGGGGATTTTAAGGCCACACGTGTATTTTTTGCGACGTACGGTAGCCGTTAATAATTAAGTTTAACTCAAGAATTCAATGTTAAAATAAAACAGTATTTAATTACAACCGCAAATAAATACTTAACAAGAACAAAGAAGTAAAAGTCAACCAAAGATAATTAATCAGTGAATAACTTGTTAGTAGCACAGCTCGACTTAACGTCCAGTAAATCCTAAATCAAAACCCAAAACATCGACGCACAATAATTCACACTAATTCGACTGGATAGTTCCACTCAATAATCACTGCAGTCAGTAGCCTGACACCGCTATTTATACACTTGACGGAAAATATATTCATAAGTCCAGAGAGTCACGCTCGAATCTCGGTGCCGGTAGTTACTCATTTTTTTTCCTATATGACTTTTTAAAGCATATTCTAAAGCCAACATTAGCTACTTCAACCCATTTGGCTTATGATTCTACAGGGTGCCACACACACACACACACACACACACACAAAAGCACGAAATTTCATATTTATATGTGATGAAAAAAATAACTAATATATAAAAAAAATTAACTTTTTTTGTTTGAACACTACATCTCACCTTTGTGTTTTGTTCTCTTTTAAGCGACTAAATTTCTATCCTTTGCGTTTGTTTCAAATAAATGTAAGTACAATTCCAACAATTAAATAAACTGTACCAAAATGTCTGTTTTTTGGGGGGAGGGGACATCCTGTATCATTGAAATTACTTTATTTTAATTACTACTGTGTAGAAAGACGACCGACCTTCTCTACCCTAATTGTTGAACATAGACTCATCCATTCGCTATGAGTAGAACGTCTGCTCATAGGAACAGTCGTCGCAAAGTGGATGGCAAGGTATAACGTTGAGTCGTACGCATTGCCGTACTGAATCATGGTATTCGTTATCATGACATTATTAATCCACTTCCTTCATGTGATTAAACCTTTTCTTTACTAATCTTTTGGTCTAGTGTTTTCCTTACAAACTTATTAATCAAAAACCACAAGCTTATACGAGAAATGACAAACACTTAAAAATTCACTCGTTAAAAAACGTTGCTTCTGGGACCCTCTTACTGTTAGGGGCCCTGAAGCACAAGCTTAATTGGTTTCATAGTAGATCGGCTATTTGATGTGGCACGGATTTGTAGCCCAATTCGTTCGAGTTTTGGAGTATCAGTTATACGATGTGCGGTCGAGTATTATTGTGCCAGAACAATGGACCTTTCCTGTTGGCCAATGCTAGACATATACGCTGCAACTGGTAATAGGACTTTGCTGTGATCGTTCTGCCATGTTTAAATAGCTGTAGTAGATTAATCCGGCTACGATAGTCAAAACAATCTTTTGGTGGGAGTTCCCAGGAGCTTCATCTCAAGTTGCCTGTTTTTACCCCTTCAGACTACTTCTGCCATATCAGTAACTGCATTAATTCAAAATATGTTTTTAATGAAAGTACTTTAAAGTAATTGAAGAAGATAGACTTTATTACATGTAAACATGATGCTGTTGTTGCTCCATTCTAATTCTAGTATGGTTGCTAATTTATACTAAAAATGAATTAAAAAGAAAGGGGATGAAATAAGCTTTAAAATGATACGTCATTTTACACAAGTTGTGTGAGTTTTTATGCCCAGAAAATGGTGGACAAATAAGAAGATAAATTTATTTCTGTAGAATCTCATACTGTCTTGCATCTTTCTCTCGCCTTCTCATTTTTACTTCTCTCTTTTCTCCTCTTCTCTTTTTTTCTTTTCTTCTTTATATTTTCCTCTTTCATTCCCCTTCATCCCTTATTTTGTAGTTAAAAAAAGAAAGAAAGTAAGAATTAAAGAAAGAATTACAACGAACGAGAGAGAAGGAAAGAAAGAAGGAAAGAAATCGAAAATGGAGATTTTGCCGTGAAAGAAAGGAAGAAATGATGAATGAAAGAAAGACATAATTGCAACGGACGAGAAAGAAAGAAAGAAAGAAAGAAAGAAAGAAAGAAAGAAAGAAAGAGAAAATTAAGGTTTTGTGGAGAAACAAAGAAAGAAGGGAATAAAGAAAGAAATTGGAAATGGAGATTTTGTAGTGAAAAAAGAAAGTAAGAATTAAATAAAGAATTGCAACGAAAAAGAAAGAAAGAAAGAAAGAAAGAAAGAAAGAAAGAAAGCATTGTAAAGAAAGAAAGAAAGTAAGAAAGAAGGTGAGAAAGTAAGGAATTGAAAATGGAGATTTTGTAGTGAAAGAAAGAATTCAGGAAAGAATTGCAACGAACGAGAAAGAAAAAAGAAATAAAGAAAGAAAGAATGAAATTAAAAACGGTGAAAGAAAGAAAGAAAAGAAAAGGAAAGAAAGAGAGAATTGCAACGATTGAGAAAGAAAGAAAGAAAGAAAGAAAGAAAGAAAGAAAGAAAGAAAGAAATTAAACGAAAGAAAGAAAGAAAGAAATTAAACGAAAAAAAGAAATCTGTTTCAAGAGGAAGAAGAGGAAGAGGTCGGTAGGTCAAGATGGCGTGCAGAGAATGTGGAAGTAGATCGTTTCGATCATTGGTAGACGTAAATCATTTGCATAATCTTTATTCCTAACAACTAAACCCAATAAATCTATAGGATTTCCTCCCGCGCCAATGTGGCTTTGTGACGTCACTACGGTCAGTGTCAATCGGTGCATTACCACAGGAAACGCCACCCGAACCCAACCCTATAATAAATTCTTAGTAATGTTTTTATGTTTTGTTTTTTGTAGAAATGCTTCTCCAAAATCGTAATAGATAAGAATATAAACATGTTAAAAACTTACATTTTCTTTAATTACAATATCACATGTACATAAGGAAAAATGTAAGGGAAAAACGGAAAATGCATTGGGATCTCTAAGGATAAGTTGGCACCAGAAATGAAATTACCATGACGCATCTATGAGCAGACACCTGGGAGTGTCTGTCAGCCTCTTTTGTTTGCTTTAGATATATATATATATATATATATATATATATATATATATATATATATATATATATATATATATAACAGAAAATAAAATTACCTTTCTGTACGTTTTGAGGTAATTATTGATTTCTTGCTGTAAAAATATATATACTGTGTTATAATAGAAATATCGAGCTCTCTGTGGATCAGTTTTAATAATTAATATTACTAGGATCCACCCGGATTATGTACCACGGATCGATTACCTGTACTATATATATATATATATATATATATATATATGTGTGTGTGTGTGTGTGTGTGCCCTCTTTCTAGCTGAAAAAGGGTTTTTTAGTGATTCTTACGACAAATGGTGTCAAGATGGCTAAACGTCTTATCTGAAAACCTGGAGGAAAGAAAACAGTGAGTTTAGTGTGTTTTTGGGGATATACATACATATATATATATATATATATATATATATATATATATATATATATATATATATATATATATATATATATATATATATATAAATATATATATATATAAGTAAATAATATATATATATATATATATATATATATATATATATATATATATATATATAAAGTAAATATATGGATATAGATCCGACAGTATGAAGAAAATATACGGAAAAAACAAACAAAAATCCTAATATGCAATTATGCTGTTTTAATGTTAATATTATATCAACGTCAATGATAATATAATATCAATTTAATGTTAATATAATATCTACTAGACCGAAACGTCCGACGTTGACATTATATTAACATTAAAACAGCATAATTGCATATTAGGATTTTTGTTTGTTTTTTCCGTTTATTTTTCTTCATATATATATATATATATATATATATATACTGATCTTCACTAGATGCTCCATACTTTCGGCCTTGTGCCATGCTTGCAAAACCACTATATATACTGATGATATCGGGAAGGTCGTAAATTTTATGGCATACTGTCCTATTCATCAAAATGACAGAAATGCATTCTTTTGTGGTCGTCCCTGTGCTTTTCTGTCATGTTGACGCTACATGATCATCATCAGTGTAAATGAACAAAGGCGGTATGCGCATGGCATGGCTGTTATCAACGCTGAAATAAGGAGCGGCGTGTCGAGATCAAATTACAACGGAGGCTGAAACCATTTATTCCCTTCTCCCAGGTGTGTGTAACTTTTGTTAGCTACCAGACTCGGCAATGGACAGTTTTTAATTTAAAATCAGTTGGGTGAATGGTTATCAACCCCTGCCCCCACAAAAGCCTACCTGCTACAGAAACAGCAAATCTCAGCATGGTGAGACTATGGCGCTATACAATCCAGGAGTGTCTACAGTTTTAAGACATGCATATAAGTATCATTTTATTCAGCTAGCGCATTTAGCACCGCCGCTATGGTCACCACTCCCCTCTATCTCAAAATTGTGGTCCATGGCGACATTCCAGGTGGAATAATGCAATGGAATTCCGATTCCTTTTGCCCCGGGGATGTTGACCTTACCCCGTCCTTCCTCTCAGAGGGGGGGGATTGTTTTTAAAGTTCTCTCCTTCTAGCCTTTGCCTAAAGGAGGACCTACAAAGCAGAATTCAGAATTTTTCTTCTCCTAGACTGGTTGCCACACAAAGCTATAGAACCTAGTCAGTCTTGCTGTTTTACCCATAGCTAGGGGGGGAATGGATTAATACCTTTCCCAAGAATATTAGCACGTAACGGAACGTAATGAACTCAACTAGAATTCGACCTCGGCATCTCACCGACATTAATTACGAGTCAACCAACTAGAGTTCAACCAATCATAAATGATAAGAAAGTGAGTCTCGAATTAGTTTATCGCCTCTTTTATCCAATGTTGCGTCACTGATAGCGTATTTTGGGGTTTCATTGGAAAAACTTACTGAAAGGGAAAATGGACCGAACACAAAATTCCAGTACCAACGCCAAAACCAGAGTTCTGTCAACTGATGTCTTTTGCTAAGTGCTTGGTTGAATATTGAAATAATCAGCCATTACGAACTCTTGAAACATTGAAGGACTATAAATACGGACGTCTATTCAGGTAAAAGAAACATTACACCAAAACAAAATACGGACGTCTATTCAGGTAAAAGAAACATTACACCAAAACAAAATACGGACGTCTATTCAGGTAAAAGAAACATTACACCAAAACAAAATACGGACGTCTATTCAGGTAAAAGAAACATTACACCAAAACAATCCTACATTGTTAAACGAAAAGGCATTAGTGTCCAACATGACTATTCAAAGGCGAATTCAGAAAAGCAAAACCCAGAAAAAAAGATCGTTATGATTGAAGGTTCTTCCATATCCTCCATACTTGTTTCGTTTAGCGACAACAGATTTTCATGTTTCAGAAATCCAAATTTTATTTTCGGGGTCGGCAGTTGAAATTCCAGTTCTGATGGCTGGCAGCTGGTATCCAAGTGTTTCTGGCTGCTAAGACGGCTACCTAATCCCTTTTGCAGACACCTACTCAGGCACATTTGTGTTTGGTCAACCCCCACAGAGCCCACCTGTGGTTTATACTATGCTGAGCGGAACCCTGGTTACAGCTTCTGAGAGAGAGCGTGGTATCTGGAGTGATCCAGTCTGAACAAGGCCAGTACTCTCACACCCTTGGTCACGATGACTGGCGACTTCGTGTTACTTCAATTCCGTCTGCCCAATTTCAGTCGCAAGGATTGGGTCAACCAGTTGTATGATTTTTCAGGCATTTTCCAAAGACACCGCACGGTGGGATCGACCCCTCAAGATCGATAATGGCACTTTCCTGACAAATCGACTATGATGAGATTCGAAACCGGGTCTTATGGTACGAAATCGAACGCTCTAACCACTCAGCTACTGATAAATAATAAAATGAAATAATGAATCTAACTTCCATTTTTTGGGAAAAACTTTCCGAATTATAGTGATTTATCGAAAAGCAAACGCAAAACGAACATTTACTTAACTTTCTGATCTCTTTTTTTTAAATTTATATTTATATATATATATATATATATATATATATATATATATATATATATATATATATATATATTATTCTTAAATTTATATATATATATATATATATATATATATATATTTTTTTTATGTTTATACATTTTTTTTATATCTTTAAAAATAATGTATAAACATAAAAATGTCTTAGAATAATTGTCAGACAATTTCATAATGTGTGACGTCATTTGTTTACATTTGGATACGCTTTGAGCAGATATTACGTTAGAGAATCATGCAAGATTGTATTTTAAAAGCAGTAAAATCAAACTTGGTCATAGAACGATTCTCTGTGGCTCAATCGGTTAAGGCACGCCAGTCTATATGACGGATCCGTATAGGATAATGGTTCGATTCCTGTCAGAGGACGAATTTTTTCTATGAAAATTTCTTGGACATTCAGGCCGGTAAATGTTATTAATACTGTTTATTATAAACAGAGCATTTACTTAAATATTTGTATCTATAAAAAGAATGTATAAACATAAAAATGTCTTAAAATAATTGTCGGACTTTGCCCATTTCAATATATATATATAAAATATTAGTGGTCAATATTTATATAAATACATTTCCAAGAGGATAGAATCCAGGTAGAACTCAATGTCCAGGACAGAGTAAGAATATAATAAAAAAGCTCAAACACTAATATTCCATGGTGATAATTTATTACATTGGGATTGTAATCACGATACAATTCATCAGACGTACAAATTCAAAAAGAAATCGGAAAATATAACTCCGGGTATTAAAAAAACAAAATTTTAGCGAGAGTGTATGTGTGGGAGTGGGAAACAAGTGTGAGAGGGAAATGTATGAAAGCTCTAGGGAGGGGGTGTA